CTACTTCGTAACTTTACAGTTTAAACACTGATGTCACACGGACTACTTTGTCGAGAGCCCTCAGATTTCATAAAAAAATATCTTGAATTGTGTTCCGAAGATGAACGAAGGTCTTACGGGTTTCGAACAACACGAGGGTGAGTAATTAATAACAGAATTTTCATTTTTGGGTGAACTAACCCTTTAACCTCAGAACAATCTCAAAGAAAAAAAGTTGCTAAAGTCTGATTTTGTGGTGGCTGTGCTTTAAAATTAAATTATTGTAATCTTAATTCAAGTGTATGTTTGAGGATTTTGAAAGTCTGACAGTAAACAGTGTTGAGTCCTACTGTAAGGTTAACCCTGCTTGGTTTAAATTTTTGAAAATGATTAACAGTTGAAAACATTCATTACAAATGAGGTAATCAAATCAGTTACATTGATAAGGTAATTTAAATAATTACAATACTTATTGCATTTTAAATAGGGTAACTTGTAATTTAACCTATAACATTTCCAAAGTAACCTTCCCAACACTGGATGTAAGTGTATGCTTGTACAGCATTCACATAAATGTTTTACTCATATCTGTTTACTCTAATGAGACCCTCTAGAGAAATAAGGCATAGAGATCCACCAAAGTAATGCATGCTTCATGAATATGGTAAACCACTCCAACTATTATGAAGTATTTATGTGGAAATCAGCAAAGATTGTCAGCAACCCCCAGTTGAATAGTCATAACTCTGGCACACGTATGCAAACACAGACACAGACACACACACACACACTTTCATATGTTTATTGAAGAAAGATAAAAAATGTCCCTTCTGTATTTCTGTTGTTGTCTGTCCAAACATTTGTACAACACTGTGTACTTCGCCAGTCTAGCTCCATGCATGCTTGCGACCAAAGAGATCTATAACCTTCTGAGACCCAGCAAACCATTTTTTTTCACAAGTGCATAAGAAAAAAGTTTAAATGGTAATGTACCTATATAATACATACATATATATATATATATATATATATATATATATATATTATTCATTATATACTACATTGAAATATTTTTGCTTGCAGAAATTGTATTTTGGAAAACTATGCTTTTTGCTTAATTCTGCAGTTATGGCATCTACCAGCAGGGGTAATAAGACCATGCTAACCTGCCAAATCTTGCTTAGTTGACCCCTCGGTCAGGACAAAGCTCCACTGCATGCTGTTGTAGTCTGTGTTTGTCTCTGTGTGCTTGTGTGGGAGTTTAAGCCTAGATTATGATGATGGAAAACAAGGCCTGTAGGGAAGTTGCATCCCAGCACACACACAAACACAATCCCATCCATTTGCTCTCTGAGACACATAAAAACACACAGAAACAGACACCAGCCTACACACACACACACATGCATGCTGAGTCCCTGCACACATTTATCATGACCTAGTGTCTCTATGTCCCCATAGTTACACAGTTTGAGGTCTCTTCACCACCCATAAACACCAAACCCTGGCCAGCAGGGGCACTGCCACAAACAGCCACACAACTATTCATCAACTCCTTCCTGAGCCAGTCTGCTTGATGATATCTCGTCTGTAAACATGACCCTGGCATCTCTGAGCAGAAACAGATTTGTGGAGTACCCAGAGACAACTGTAGGGGGTGCTGTCACAGACATCATTCTGACCATTAATCACGCTCTTCAAACCAGCAACATCCTCGAACCTGACCCAGCCGCCACCTGCAAGAGACTGACAGTAACCTCTTACAAAAATACAGCTGATGCTATCATTAAGTGCCACTGTGTGGGCAATGGAAATCTCACTGCATGTAACTCACGGCAACGGAACTCATTGGATGTGATTTAATGCATGGTGTGCTGGCTCTGAAAACAATCTTTTCTTCATGCAGAACTGTTGGATATTCTGTATGAAGGTCAGTTTACTTTGTTGTTGGTCAAGTTATGGCTATTATTTGAGTTAATAAATCCAGATGGGTGCCGTAAATGTCACAAAAACGCACAAATGTTCAAGCACGCAAAACGTCGCAGCTCAGACAGCATATGCGAGAAACAAATTGAGTTCTCTTGACCAAATGCACACAAAATTATGTCAGAATCATGGTCTTGACGAGTATCCATGTAAACATGTATTGTTTCCAACCCACTCTTCACCCCAAACCAGCAGGTTCAGGACTTCCACCCGTAACGGTAGTAGCCTACTGCTCAGTCCCCTCACCATATCGGCTCAAATGCTTAAGCAGTTGCACTTATTATGGGCTCAACAGTTATTTTAAGTTTGTCTTCCTCAATTTAAAAACAAGTGTGTGTTCAAAAAGTAAAGAAATGCTTATATTACTGCACTGGCCAATGGAGCGAACCAACCCCATGACGTCACCCTCTGTGATACTGCAAGATGGCGGTGCCCTTGCTCCAAAAACTATAACAAAACATATTTTTTTCTTTAAAACGGTTACATTAATCGTGTTTATTATATATATTTTTTATTAAAGTGGAAATCAGTTTACTATATGATGTAAACTTGACTGACTGCTTCACTTCCACTTTAAAGGATATTTGTGTTGTTTATTATTTATTTTTATTTATACTATTTGTCATTTTTGTGCAATTACTTGTCTGTCAGTCAAGTTTGTGACAGAGCATTTTGCAGTGTTTACATGTTTATTACAGCATATACTTCATTAAAATAGAAGTTTAATTTCATAAAGTACAAGTTGATTTCAAAATGCACCTATATTGTTTCTGTATTTTGTGTTTTTCAATTGAATAAAAGACTACTTTCCCTATATATTTCTTTAAAAAAGTAAAAAAATCTTGTCTCGTCTCGTTCTCGTGAACCCAGTCTCGTGTCTCGTCTCGTGGGATAAGTGTCTCATCACACTCCTTCTGCAAAGGCAACATAAATTTAAAAGCTTAAACTTAAAAAAGAGTTACGTTTTTAAATTTTTCTGACAACTGAGATGCAAGATGGCATCAGTTGTGTTTGCTCTAAAAACGGAGAGAGTGAGTTTGTAGTGTGACATGAAAGACATCAAAGTAGCACCAATTTAAGTTAGATTATATACATCATTGCCATGGACGATGGCAAATGTTAGGAAATTTCAGACAACTGAATGCCTTGAATGACCAGCCAGAATCAAGTATCATTCTTTTCAAGACCGCTCTCCACCGCTGTCCTGTGGGCATTCCTAGATTCCTGCCTATCAATCTCCTTTCATCCTCCAATGAGAATTGACAGAATGTGAACAGGTAGCCTATTTGTCCATGGGTGGAAACCAGCTGCATGTGTTCATTCTCAGAAGGGAACTGAATAAAGAGTTTTCTTCTTTTGATTTACATTTATTGATTTCTCAGATATGGGCCATTAATCAACGAGTAGAATAACCTTTTCTCCCCTCTGCACTGTTGCCGTCAGCTGTAAATTTACATGGCCAAACATGTGAGGAGCTGTGCTGCATACCCATTCCATCATCCCACTGTAGGAAGAAAGAACCTGATTTATTCTCAGTGTTTTGTGGAGGAACTGGCCTCTTGTCTCAAATCTCAAGGCAAAAGTCTTGTGTTGCCCTATGAGAAAACAAAACAAATGGCTTCTAAAATTGGAAAATTATTACTTGCCCTAAACATCACTTCCTGCAACCCTCCCTGAACTAGCAAGCAGGATTGTAACAAAGCTGAAATACTTTTAAACAATGTATTTTGAGATTGTATGGTAGCTTTTATCTTGCTGTGCTGATAATCAGCCTCAGAATCTGGATATTTTAATTCATATTCAATTTCATATTCAAATGCAATTATACAACAGTTAGTTCCAGTCTGGTCCCAAAATGACTGGCTGAGCGGGGTTCCAAGAGCGCTGACAGTGGTTTGGATTTCATTTACTGGACCACTTCGAAACCATTTAGTAACAAATCAAAGGGATCGTCGAATGAGTCATTGAATCATTTACCCAGCTGATCCATTAAAATACACTATTCATTCTGAAAAAAAAAAAAACTATTGTCTTTGAGTCAGTCACTGAGTCACTTAACTGTTTTATTTAAAAACACTGATTCGTTCAGAATGAAACATGTGACTGCCTTTTGGAGTC